AAGAAGATTTTTGTATAGAATGTCCAGTGCCTGGAATGAAATGAAGTGGTGATGATGTACATGTATATAGCCTTATTTTAATCTGTGTTAATATATTATATTACTTGTAATTGCCAATGTATATGTTTTGTAAATGTCTCATGTGTGTCTTGAAGGACCACAGGAAGAGTTATTTGTTGTAAGCTAAGTGTGGATCCCAATAAAGTCAAAGTCAAAGTTAGGGTAACGTCACTAATAATACAAATATCCCGGCCTATTTGAGTACACCTTCTGAAATATGTTAAAAATGAGTCAAATAAAGAATATCGAAGCCATAAATTTTTACTGAAGCTGCAAGTCCAAACCTCACATGGGCTGGAAGCTCCAGGCTTAGACAAAATATTTTAGAGGCCCAAAAATGGTCAGTCACACAAATGGCCAAAAGGGATTCCAGACTACATTATATATAGATTATCATGCCACATCATATTTCATGCATTTTATACATTATGCCAGTATTTCTTTTATAATATATGGCACCAATTATTCCTTGGGAAAAAGCTTAGTGGGACTTTGGGAAAAAAATCATACTTGGATAAAGTAAGATCAGAAAATTTAACCTCGCACTGCAAAGCACTGCAAAAACTGGATAGTTTAAATTCTACTGTCATCTTCAATTAATCAGTTTGTAATGTAAAGTTACTGAATTGATTTGATGATTATGTAAGTTTTGGTCCCTCTGACTGTTCTAATGTTAATCTTCCTGTTTTGAATTTGAGAAACAACAAATTAAATTGGTGTGTCTCTAAGTAGCAAATTTATGGGATAGAAGCAGGGTAGGCATTTATATTTATGTTTATGCGTATAAAAGAATGTGAGAGGAGCAAAATAAATTTTCCTGTCTATTTTTAAGCCTCAGGGCCCAGATTTCTGTGCTATCAAAAATTCCGGACTGTTTTACCCAAATGTGGGGAGGGAGACATTTCTGCAATTTTGCAATTATTTCAAACTGAGAATGGTAATATTGAGATATTGAGATACTAGACGGAAGAAAAACGATCTTTATCCAATTTTGCACCTAATGGTTTACTTTCTGACAAAAAGCCATGATTTACATCATTTGGTTAAAATCTGCCATAAAAACTACTCCAGACCCCACCTTTGACCTATGACCTTTGACCTGACAGCTATCGCCATGGTGATGTCAGGAGGGCTTGGTTGTTATATATATTGCTGACATGTAAATGATGGAAGATAGGCGGTTAACTCAGGTCCACCCCGAGAATAAACGTATGGGAGATAACCTTTGGTCCCGGACAGCCACTGGACATGTATTGCCTTTGACAACTTGGCTGGGTAATCTGTCTTTAAATGTATATATAGCTTTCTCACCAGGCCGTTTGAGCCTTGGGGGCACCCTACATTGTGATTTGGACCCCCTATGTTGTGATTTACTCATTCAGGCCCGTATATATAGGCTATACTGTCTAGCATATATGTAGGCGAGAACCTTGTGATCTGTTGTAGTTAAATCTTTCAAGAAATTTCTCTTCAGAATGAAGCTGTCAAACCAAGGAATTTGCCCCTCAGTAAGCAAGAAATTAATGTCTCAGAAGGGTTGAGCTTTAAAATTTTTCAGTTAGAATACTGCAATGATGTCTTTCTGACTCAATGCTCTGCTTGCGATGTGCAATGTATGGCTCTGAGTCTGACTGAATAAACATCAATAATATTAGAGTCCTCCTCAGTTCATAATCATAACTAATCTTTCTGCATTTCTCATTCTTTCCATGTAATTTTAAACTAGGAAACAAAACGCTGACATACGAGTCAAAAGTATCCCTCATATTCGGCTGAATTATGTTTCTTCTGCGCCGAAAACAAAATTACATTCAACCCCTGGGACAAGCTTTAATTGAGGAATATTTCGCAGATAATAGTAAACCGGCCGCGTTTTAATCATGTTTTTTTGTCTGCCTCGCCCTGTTGTCCTTGGAGAACTGGGAAGATAATACTAATGAAAGCAGCCATTTATGACATTTTATCCCCAACGGTTGTGTTGCCATGGAGCGGAAAGTGGTTTTTGCCCAAATTTGATCGTTCTTCTGTCACACTGCCAAACACAGAGAGATGTGAGCACACAGATTACATACTAAAGCCTTAGTTCAATCAGTTAAAAAGGAGGTACGCAGTCAGGGCTCGATTTGGTGCACTGGTGCACCCAACCTAAAAAATTGGGTGCACAAAAAATTTTTGGGGTGCACCATAGAAAACAAAACCGACTTACAGATCTTACTGCTCTTTTTCTGAGCTTGAAATGGGAGCTAATGTCAAAATCTTAAACAAGTACTACAACAAAGATATTATTGTTTTTCTGATACTTAGAAACCAAGAATATCCGGAATACTAGTATACATTTCTAATGCTAAAAATTCGTCCAAAAACATTTGGGTGCACCAGTGCACCCACAGAAAAATAGTAGGTGCACAACTCCAATTTTGGGTGCACTAAGGTGCACACGCACCCAGTATTTCAAGCCCTGCATACTAAAGCCACCGTTCAATCAGTTAAAAAGCTCAGGCACACAGTGAAAGGCTGTATGCAGTGTTTATTTATTTATTTATTCTATCTAGAGGGTATGTGTATATCTGGGTATTCCGCCATTCTACTGATTTCCAATGGGACTCCGGACATAAAATTCAATACATGTAAAAGTAGTCAGATAGAAACATCAGATAGGATCATAGTTCTTTGTATAAATTATTGTGAAAACTGCACAGTCAAATTTCAAAATAAAATCAATCTATGCGTTATGCTCTAAGCTGTTGTAATTTATCAGGTATTTTTTATTTCCATTCAATTCCATAATATGATATGAAAGTAGCTGAAAAATTATTCACAATTTAGTTCAATTTTGGATACCCCTTGGATTATGAATCTTTGTCTATAATTGTGAAAACTTCACAATCAAAATAAAACCAATCTATGTTCTAAGCTGTTATAGTCGAGCAGGTATTTTTGATTTCAGTTCAATTTCATATTAAAGTAGCTGAAAAATTATTCACAATTTAGCTCAATTTTGGATACCGCTTGGATTATGGATCTCTGTATAGTAATTGTGAAAACTTCACATTCAAAATAAAAACAATCTATGTTCTAAGCTGTTATATTTGATCAGGTATTCTTGATTTCAGTTTAATTTCATATAAAGTACCTGAAAAATTGTTAATTTTACCTCAATTTTGGATACCACTAGTACTCGGGCTATGTATTGGGAAAACTGCACAGTCAAAGTAAAAACAATCGCTATGTTCTAAGCTGTTATAGTCGATCAGGTATTTTTGATTTCAGTTCAGTTTCATATTAATGTAGCTGAAAAATTATTTAAAAAAATTTACCTCAATTTTGGATACCACGAAAACTGCACGTTTAAAATAAAACCAATCTATGTTCTAAGCTGTTATAGTTGATCAGGTATTTTTGATTTCAGTTCAATTTCATATTAAAGTAGCTGAAAAATTATTCACAATTTAGCTCAATTTTGGATACCACTCGGATTATGTATCTCTGTATAATAATTGTGAAAACTGCACAGTCAAAATAAAACCAATCTAATATTGTTCTAACAAAGCTGTTATAGTTGATAAGGTACTTTTGGTTCTAGTTGACAGGTATTTTTGATTTCAGGTCAATTTCATATTAAAGTAGCTGAAAAATTATTCACAATTTAGCTCAATTTTGGATACCACTCGGATTATGTATCTGTGTAATCATATTCTACATACTTTATGAATTCCTGATTGAGGGACAATATACAATCAGAGATTGGAAATTTGATGATTGCAAAATTTTTGCATTTTGATAGAAATCTGCCCTTTGCAAACTTCATAAGCAATACACACACATGTACATGTACACTAACGTACAACGTACCCAGACCAGGGCTCGAAATACTGGGTGCATGTGCACCTTAGTGCATCTTAGTGCACCAGTGCACCCAAATGTTTTTTTGTAGGTTTACGTATATGACAAGATGTTAAATTTAGAGTAGTACCAGTAAGTGTCAGAAAAATAGCATTAGTAAAATCATTCTTGTAGTACTTTTCTTTAGAAATGAAACATACCGGTATTAGTTTTTGATGACATTATGCTTATTTCATTTTATATGGTGCACCCACACAAAATTTTGTGCGCCCAATTTTTTAGCCAGGTTGGGTGCACCAGTGCACCTATTCCCAAAAATGAATATCAAGCCCCGCAGACGTTATATAACACTACTGATAACATTTTATTGGTCCAAAGCCATGGGTTAACACTGAGAGAAGCTGGTTCAATTTACACAATCCAGACTGCTCCAAGGCTGAAGTGCCTTTTGAGCAGGCTTTTAAGTAACGGTGCTGTATGGGTAGGAGGTTGTTGTCTGAACACTGGGATATGTGCTTGATTCAAAACATAACTCAAGTACATGCAAGTAAATTAATCTAAAATGAAACTCTTATAGCATTATAATCCAGACAAAGCAAGATTTTTTGTATTTGAACATGATACACAGTAAACTGATGTAATAATGGCATGGGCAGGGTCATTCCATATAAAGTATATAATATAGCCAGAATGCCGCGTGCCTGCAAAGCTGGTGTGTTATATAAGAGGGCAATTATGAATTATACTGGCTATACAGGTATAAATACAGGTACAGATACATAACTGTTTGGCTTAAGCTTCTGGGGCAGATTGTCAAGATCCAACCACTTACAAATATAGTGAATGGCTTTCAACACGACTAGTTAGTTAGTGGTACTGATACATTTACATTGTGCCATCAACGCATCTACTATATCCTTTTATTTTTATTTTACATGTAAGTTTACCTGTTAGACTAAGTAACATGAAGACCTTTCAAATCAGTCAATCAGTTGTGTCTTTGAATTAGTTTTTTAACTATGTCTAAGTTTTGTGTCATTTGTATACTACATGTGGTGGAAGATTAACACCTTTTCCTCTTCTCTGTTCACCTACAGGTAACACAAGAAAGTTCTAGACATGTCTGCCAAGAAGCGGAAGGGGGGACTGGCCCTAGATGCCATCTGCGCTAAACTGAAGACGCAGCGTCTCCAGATCGGGGACTCTCCAGAAGAAAGCGCAAGTCCAGAAGACGACTTTGCCGAAGACGTCGCACCTCAGGTTTCGGAAGAGGACGTCCATGTAAACGGCGTAGCATCTCCGAATCCAGCAGTAGATCAGCAGGACACAAGCCAAAACGATGACGATCAAGACTGTAACAGTAGAACAGCGGATGAAGATTCGCTCGAGCATAAACAGTCCAGTTTAGATAGCCAACAAGATTGTGCAATGCAAGATGGCAAAGCCGATAGCCCGCCAACTATAGGGAATGACCCTGTACCAGAGCTTGCCTCATCAACTAGTGATGATGCAGCCCTTGTACAAGAGGAACAGCCGGAGGACTTGTCGGTTAATAAAAACGACCAAACGCTAGACTTAGCTAACGATTCGGTAGAGCAAAAACCAGAGGAGTCATCGAGGCGGAAAAGGACGCCAAACAAAATCACGCACTTTCAAGTGGAGGAGGAACTTTCCGACGACTGCATTGACGGTGACGTCGTGATCGTACAGCCCACGGGATGTAGCGACAGCGAAGACGAAATTGACGACACCACCGAATTCGAAAACCCTTTCAATCAGAGCGATGAAGAAGACCAAGATGACGAAGACTATGATCCTGAAAAGGACAATATAAACAAGAGGGCGAGTAGCAACAACACTAGTACTCGCCCAGAGCCACAAGTTGCTGCCAACCCTGTAGCTATAGCTAGTACTAATAATAAGGCGACTGTAGAAAGCAAAGCTGAGCAAACGACTAATTCAGAACCTCAAGTGAGTCAGGGAGACGCCTCTTCATTGAGAGATTACGCAGAGACGACAATGAACGAACTGATCGGAATGTTCGGGTACGACTCGAGCGACCACGACCTCAAAGCGCTGCCCTTACAAACGTTTTCCTCGGGAAAAATTCTCGAGATGCAGATCAAAGAACGGCAGGGGAACGGGCTCCAGAATGAGGCTCTCGCTCTAGTTCAGGGGTTAACGGGAGCGACCATCGACGGGCGGGGGTCGAAGTATGACTTTTTTATCCAGAAGCTCAAGTCGGGGGAGAACTTCGCCGACCCGAACGACACAATCACAGCTGGCACGATATCCCCCCGCCGCGCGTCGAAATTCGATCCGGAACGGATCAAATACCTCCAGCCTCAGGACATATCCCCCATCCTAGCCAACCTGAACGAACCCGTCAAAAAGGGCGGGCGGCCGCTCAAATACGACGTGCGGAACTTTCAGGGTTTTAACGCCGCCGCCAACAACGTTAACGCCAGCCCGCAAACAGTGACAAGCACCATTACTACCTCAGATCTCCACTCAAACACTAACAACAGCAGCGGCGGCGACGCGGACCTGTTTGATAGTGAGCTTGCCCGCACGGCCAACGCAAGCACGGACTACATCAAGGCCTGCTTCTCGGAGAACGGCAAGCCGGATGTTGAAGAAATGCTGAGAAACAACGAGATGAACATCTTTCAGAAATATATCGCAAAGTAAGTCTGACTCACAAGAGCGAAGGTTGAACGTGTTTCAGAAATATATCGCAAAGTTAGTTTGGCTTACAAGAGCAAAGGTTGAATGTCTTTCAGAAATATATCGCAAAGTAAGTCTAACGTGAGGTCACATGGCGTATTTGTCTTGTTACGAAGGTAAAGATTTTGTGTATTTGTATAAAGTTAAAACTTTAGGTCCAACACAATAAAAATCTCTCACCTGGAGCTTTCGACCAGTCACTCTGGTCTTCCTCAGTAGACTGCCTCAGTGATGCTTGTTACGTGGCTTCTTTGAAGGGTGACGTCAACATTTTGTTTATTTGTTTGTTTGTTTATTGTTGATATGATTGCAGGTTCTCAGCTAACGTGCACTGTGGCCACCTCCACTGTGTTTACCAGTACAAGGAACACTTCCACTGTCTGGACAACGAGTGTAATTATCAGGTACTTATAAAACAAACTGTCTTCTACCTTTTTATGTTTACCCAGGGCTCTCCCCAAGCAATCAAGCAAGGGTGCTCCCCCTCTCCCAGAATCCTAGCATCTATCCCAACGGATCCCAAAATGTTCAAATTTAGGATCTTCCCTTTAGTATTTTTATGAAAATTTGCTGATTTTTATCTCGGCCGCCTGCAGCGGCCGAGATATTGTGCTCCAAAATATGTACGTTGAATGGATGGATAAATCTTGATTTCGACCGTGAAAAAAAAACCCAATGAAACCAATTACTCTGCATGTATACTTTACTTTGTGGTGTCGACCTACCGGATGATAGTGTCGTTATTCTGATACAACGAAGTTGCTAAAAAAGAGGAAATGATGTTTACCACAAAACCATTGTTTTATATCATAGTATGCATTTAATGTTCTAGAATTTCGCTAATAGCTGCTGTAATTGGACCAATAAATCAATGACATAAATTATGTACATTAACCTTCCATATTTGCTTAAGTCGCAAGATGCCGCTTTTGATTGGTGAATAAATCACTGTGACGCAAGTAAATATTCACTTGAAATGAGAAATTACCGCCAACAAAACGGACCATTAGATTCCCAGTGCTGTATTACTCTTTTGTTCTTGTGGTCAACTTGTTTCTTTGCTTGAATCGCGTAAAAGACCAAGGAAAATACAATGAAATCGGCAATCGCCGAGCCGCGCCCCGATCTGCCGCCGCCATCTTGGATTTTTTGGAAGCTGCAATTTGGCCCAAACCGCTAGAGGGGGCGAATTAAAATGTTTAATATATTCGGTCTGAAGTTTTAGTAGCTCTAGCAGTAGAGGAGAAGTTTGATAATGCATAGAACGGATAAAATAGAATAAAATTAAATGAAATAAAATAAAACAGAATAAAAAATAAAATGAAAATAAATAAAAAATAAATAAAAATAAAAAAATAAAATAAAATGAAAATTATTGTAGTGGTTACATATACTTAACGTTATATTGTATTTAGCAATGATCATTTTTCACTAATTCCATTGAAGCAAATGATAATGGAAGCCAACTTATTACCCTGTTTGGTGTTACAGGTATGAACATACTAGGTAATACATTCTTTCCTCTCTAGCAGTTACACAAATCTATGTGGACATCCTCCAAGAACACAAAACTACATGGCCAGCGGCCGAGATAAACTTTTTTCAAAAGTCTTGTTCATCAACTGATTAGGAAGCACCTCTCTCCTAAGAATTTCTGGGGAGACCCCTGGTTTACCGAAGGAAAACATATTGTTTTTGCTCTGTTTCTTCTTCCTCTTCTTCTCCGAACAGTGACCTCTGACCTGGTCAGTGACCTGAACCAGACTGTCTCTCACCATGGTAACTGGTGTTGGGTTACATCATGTTGCAATTTTAGAGTAGGAGGGATTTAGACTGTTGTCACCGCATGTATGTGAATGTGTTTGACTTTAGAATTAACAGAAAATTTGACCATATGAGAACATTATGCATTTTGCTTTGTAAATGTTACTAGTTTTGTTTTGTACCAGTACCGGACTAATCTTGATTTTAATTATTACATCATAAAGATTTGTGCTTTGTTTCCAGTGTACTGCGCAAAAAATGCACCGTGTGACTAATCCAATAAACTTTTACCATCGAAAATTTAAAAAAAAGATGAAGTAATTATCAGGTACTTGTACCCCCTAAGGAGGGGGGGAGACACACTCTTTGTTCTACCCAGCATGAGGTGGATTAACTTCAACATAATAACAGGATCATAGCCACTAATGACATTATAATGTTACATACATGGCTGTCATCTGATGGCTTCTGAGCTTGAGTTTCCCTATAACCAGGGGGAAAAGAGAGAACACTCCAACCACTAATTAATTAGCAAAGATTGTTAATTCAAAATTTAATGATAGTTTGCCAACTTTGAGCACATTTTTTAAAAATCCAAGAACCAACATGTTAAAGACACCCAAAGTAATTTCATAAGCAAGCAATCACAATACCATTATACTGATATCTGTGAGGCAAAAGTGTGATGCTGCTGACAGAAAATGATATATAGATTGTTCCTATCGTACATGTAGTCTGGTTCTAGCTCTTTATTTGTGATACCAAAAAATAAATTAACGCCTCATCTAGCCTGTTTTTTGACTATTTTGAACACATTAAGTATGAAATGAAGTAGGGGTAGTAATTAATGAATGAATGAAACTTTATTTTATGTCGTGCGCTTTCCCGCGCCCAGCCCGTGTGGGCTTATACGACACCGTTTGAGTATAAGTAATCCATAAACAAAGAGAATCAAAGGTACAGATAACAGAATCCAAACAAAATATGAACACAAATAAAGGTAGGCTATATACAATTATAATGGTGAACAAAGTGAACTCATAACTGTAGTATATGTCAATATCAGGCAGATTTCTTTATCCAGAGTATTATTCATTTTGCTGCCCTGAAATTGCGTTGGACAGTATACCGTCCGACCTCTAAATATTTTTGGTCTAAATCCCTCTCCTTTTCCTTAAATTCCCAGCGGTTCACCAACAAGCAGGATGTGATTCGCCACTACAACATGCACAAGAAGAAGGACAACTCCCTCCAGCACGGGTTCATGAGGTTCAGCCCACTGGACGACTGTAGTGTCTACTACTCCGGCTGTTCCCTCAACCTCAAACACACGCACTACCACTGCATGCAGGTTTGTCTGTTTGTTTGTTTATTGAGATCTCTATTAGTATGGTAAACTCTGTACTATTCTTTCTGGAGTCCAGCAACATAAAATAAAATAACAATAATAATAATGATTACTTTTTAAGTAATAATAATTACTTAATGATAATAAATAAAACATACAAATCATCCTGAAATTATGACAAACTTGAAGCAGAATCAACATAGAGAAATAAAAGTGAATTGGAGATCAAATAATAGAAATAATATGTATGAAATGAAAGTAATAATTGTTGAAGAGATTCATTTGAAAGTAATAATTATTGATGTACTTTCCAATCAATGCAAAATTGAAGTACCAAAACAGTAAACAAATATTTGAACTGACATAAATGAAGTCAGTTTGTGAGGAATTCTGTATCTCATTCTGTATAGCCAGTATAACCGCCCTTCGGCGTAACACACATCATATTTTATCATATCAAACACAAGCACACTGGTCACTCTCACTGAGTGTGTATATCTGTATTGCAGACTGTACCAACCTTGTTGCCCGCAAACTTTTTTGTCGGCCTAATTAAAGCTGAACACAGTTACAGAAAGAGATAAACATGGATTTAGACTAATCTAGTTTGATTCAGGGTTATCTTCTTTACCTGCCATGGCCAGATTATCTAAAGATGTATACATCAGGTCCGATGATCCTGTTTTCACATTTCGTTTTTTTTACTCTGTTCCCGAATGTTCCGGTTGTTTAAACCGGTCTGGAACCGGTACCCACCCCTAGTCCTATGTAATTGTATCTGTTCTTGTTCAATCGTGTAAGTGGTTTTAGACTCGTAGGTATGTTGGGCAGCAGGTGGTAAAGTGTACCACACAGAAGGACTTATGACGCTGAAGGCACCGGCTACAGTTGGGGCCTAGGCTATATTTGGTGCTATGTGTACATGGGTACTGCAAAACAAGCACATAAGCCATGTAGGAAACTTCCTTAACAACTTCATAACCGGAAAACAAGTAGACAGCCTACTTAACACCTTCTAGGCAGCTTTCTGGGAACAAGTAGAAAAGTTTCTGAACACCTTAATGACTCAGATAAGTGGAAAACAAGTTAAGGAAACTTTCATTGTGACAAGTAGAAAACACATGGATAACTGGAAAACAGAAAAAAAACACCTTCAACTGGATAACCTTGTGTATGCGTGCGTGCATTTATGTGTGTGCATGTGCATGTGTGTGCGTGTATATGTGTACATGTATGTGTGTGTGTTTGTGTGTGTGTACTGTCACTGTGCATGTGTGTGCATGTGTGTGAGGGTGTGATGTCTAATACACACAGGACAATAACTTGAGTAAAATCAAATCATCAGTATCATTATCAAAGTCCAATCTAAGTTGCTCTCCAAAAGTTTCTGTCTCCCACAAAGTTTCTCCTTGACTTTCACACCAACATCCCTGGCTCTATGTTTGTATTATAATATATAAGTAGGCACGTGTATGTACTACGTGCAAGCCGGCTGGTATATTATGGCAAGAATGCAGCGAGGAATGCCAGCATTTCTTCATTAATTGCTCTTAAAATGCTGTAACATTCAAGTGGGGGTAAACCTAATAGCGATGATCTTTAAACCAAAGACTGTAGGAGGGAACATACAGGCTTATGTTTCCTGCTTTATACACGTATGCCAGGTTGTTTTTAGACATAGTCGATGAAAGTTGTTGATGCCCTTTTGCCGTGATGTTAAGCCTGTATAAAGCTAAAGGTGGCATAATGCTAGCTGCCCCCAGGGTACTTGGTGTAACTTTCTTCACTCCTAGTACGTATACGTTGACGGTTCAACCATCCAAGTTGGCAATTACGAATATCAGTCAAAAGGCAGTTATGACAGGTTTGTGTTCTTTCTCTCTTACTTGTTAAAAGTTGTAGATATTCACTAAAAAAAGGCCATGTAGAAATTTTAGTTCCTTCAGATTTGTATGAACCAAACTGAGAACATGTGATGGCCTGGGCGTGCATTGTTATTTACCTATTTCCAGTTGGGTGCACATGTCAAAAGCTTTTAATTCAGATCATTTATTTTGGGAAAAAGGGCTTGTTTCACAAGAACAACCATTTACTAGAGCTGTGTGTTACCTCAGAAGGATGTTTCTTGTGAGTGCTGTAAAATGTTATGAAAAATTTAATCTGCAGAACTTGTGTCATAGCTAGTGACCATCTTTTCCCCATTAATATATGCTCATGACAGACAAAATATTTTGCCCTATCTGTCATCTTTGATGATGTAAAACAGTGTGTAAAGATATGAAAAGAGTTTAATATCTTAATTTAAAACTGAAATAAGTCTACTTGCAAAAGTTGCCTGTTACCCGCCCGCTCCATTATTTTTCTAGAAAAATCCGTTATCCAAGGAATTAAATTGATGTGGCCTAAATGAGGATTTCAAAGTTATGTTGAAGCTCCCCCACCCCCTGACACACCTATAGCTACATGTACTACCACTGTCATCCCCAATCCAATCCGTATGCAAAGCAGTCGCCCAAATTCAATTTCATCCCTTCCTACCCCTGGTTTTTCTGGGCCACTCGTCCCTAATATGACCCCCGTGTCCGCTTAAACACCCCAGTGAAGTAACATACCTGCCCATTCAGGTAGCCATAAATTACCTTAAAGATTATCGATCCTTCTAACGGAAGGACTGAGTCCAACCAGCCAGGCCTTGCTCAGAAATTGGACGTGTGGTGTCCCCTGTCAGGGCTGGAAATACTGGGTGCATGTGCACCTTAGTGCACCAAAAATTGGGGCTGTGCACCTAATTTTTTTTCTGTGGGTGCAAATATTTTTGTAGGTATTTTTGAATGAATGAATGAATGAATGAATGAATGAATGAATGAATGAATGAATGAATGAATGAATGAATGAATGAATGAATGAATGAATGAATGAATGAATGAATGAATGAATGAATGAATGAATGAATGAATGAATGAATGAATGAATGAATGAATGAATGAATGAATGAATGAATGAATGAATGAATGAATGAATGAAACTTCAACTCTGTAATTAAGTTTCGTTTTATATGGTGCACCCAAAAATTTCTTTTGCACCTAATTTATTAGGTTGGGTGCACCTTTTCCCTGTAAAAATGAATTTTGAGCCCTGCCTGTTCTCTATTGATTCTAGTTTCGGCTGCCTGTACGTCCTCACTGGTGCAATGCTGACCCTATACATTTACTTAATTTATTGGCAACATGCAGCAGATTTGGCTACAGTGAACTTATTTCACGTGCCATTAGCCTCTACCCCCCACTTAATTGACTTCTGCCTTTTGGCTGGAATATTATCCTTGAAGCTTTTCCCAGCGGGTGCCTAAAAACTGCAGTTGTGGACTGTAATAACCTCCAAAAATGTAGCCTCCGTAGCAGGCTTATAGAACTGGGGGTTTGGTGGTCTTCGGCTGTTTTCTGATTAGCCTCCGTAGCAGGCTTATAGAACTGGGGGTTTGGTGGTCTTTGGCTTTTTTCTGATTAGCCCAGTTCTAAAAACGGCGGTGATTCAACCAGGCCGGCTATGTTGTCTATATGCAATCAGAAAATAGCACAAAAGCTCCCAAAGACCCTGAAGACACCCAAACCCCCCAGTTTTTGGCCTGCTGTGGAAGCTACAAAAAGTGTCAGTTTGTGCAGAATGGCTGGAAATTGGATTTTTCGTCGGTAGACTGAGTTTTTATCCGTAGGTTGAATGGGTGGATAGGTTGCAGAATATTAGTCAGGGAGGTTGGAATATTGACTATGGTCTTACTTAGGGATGACAGAAATCCATATAGAAGTAACAGCTAATATATAAATCTATATACTAAATGGACAGACATTTTTTTCTTCAGTTAAAGGTTTTTGAAGTAAATTGCACCTGCCTCTAATATCCTCTAAAAGCAATTTCCTTTATTGCATAAAATACAGGGTTTTATAGGTTGACTCAAGTTTCTACTGAAAAAAAAATGACTAGAAATTTGACTTTAAAAATCCAGTCTTTCTTCCCTGAAATCACCCTGGGTGCCTTTAACTCTTTTGAGCTTAAAAGGCACAGTATGTCTGACAAACACACAACATAATTGATAATGACAGGTTAAATGTAATGAGCAGCATAACATTAGGACAAACAGTTGTCCAACCCGACTATGGTTTCAGGTCTTTACGGAAAGCTGTCTAGAAATAGTGACCGTGAAAAAAAAGCTACGGAAGCGAGCAATTTCAGAAGTGATTGGCATTCGTTCCAAGCCCTCCGCGCAATTTAGATATTTTGTAATAATTCCGTTATGGATTTTTTGTGGCCCTTATATTTTATACTGCCATTTGCAAATTCGCCGTTACCTGCAAATAAATCGCATACAGTTTCCAAGAAATCTATTTCGCATGGAAACGGAAACAAAGCATTATCGTAGACAGTCACGTTGCCTAGTCTGAAATTTGATGCTACGAAAAATACAGCAACATCCATGCAGAGCCATCATACATGTACATTCTAGCAGGCATGGTGATGTTCCATCGATTATTACATTAACATACTAAATGAGGCACTAGAATGCCGTGCCCTTGAATAGCTCAGTCCCTTGGACAGCGAATTACCCGGGCTTGCCATGCCTTGCATGAGTTGTCAAAAGGAATTTGATACACCGTGCATAAATGTCCTCATTTGTGATCATCTCCCGAAAGTGGGTTCCAATTTGAAAGCAAATTAGACCAAAGTAGTTGCTTTTACGGAGCTCTTTTATGCTCCTGGGCATATCAACAGAATGGGTATGACATACGTGCGCGCAGGGATCAAACACTAAGCCCCAGGCCCGCGTTGAATAAACAGTATACACCATGGTAACTCCTATCCATATCATATACCTATCTCCCTAAAAATCTGACAAAGAAAAAAAATGAAACGCTTTTAAGTCTCACAGCGGGAAATTTCGCAGCAGTGTTTCCAGTAAAAATGGAATGATGAATGCTTGTTCTTACCAACAAATTGAATTCCTCGTTGATAACATTTTATGTCTTTGTCATTTTACAGGAAAAAGTAATTAATGAAGCGAAGTAGAATTTATTGCCTGCGTGCTGCATGAATTGATGATGAATGTAGGGGTAGGGGCGGAATTCTACATGCTTGATGTTAGATTTATAGCTTTTCCCATCTCGTGCAACACAAACGCTGTGAACAACTAGTGCAGGGAGAATATTAACTTGGTGTTCTATAATCACCCCTGCCAAGAAAAAAAATGACAAATGCATCTGTTTAAAGAAGACCGGTGTTGTATATATTTCCTTGTTAAGGCTGTGGCAAAATTGCACAGAGAATTTTGCTTATCTTGTGTAAATGTGAATTTTCTGAGAGTTTGACACCAGAAAGGTAAAACTGATGATTGTTTGATATTGTCTTGGATCTGTATTCCAAGCAGTTTTAACTGAATTATGTCAATGAATATTTCATTATGATATGTGACAATTCAGTTATCTTTTGTAATACATGTAACATTTACATTTTTATTTTTTATAGCTTGAATACAACATGTATCACTTGTTTTTTTTCTGAAAAATTTGTAGGTTAGACTCTGAAAAATGTTTCTAGTAGGAACAAACCTATGATTTGAGAGACACAAATATCCAGGCAGACCTTTTTTTATCCAACATGTAATGAATAAATTTCTTGTCTTGTTCAGGTCGGATGCAATGAAATGGTTTGATATTTCTTTCTGAAACAAAGCCAATGACGTCACATTTGTCTAGGAATATAACATACCAGGGTAGCTAAAAGAACAAATTTTAACATTTTTATCATTGTCTTCAGGTCTAGGTTGGATGCAACAAAGTGTACACCACTACATGTACCTCTGACGTCATGACAATACAATTGAATCAGATATGAGAGTCGCAATTGTCCAGGTTCACAGGAAAAATAACTGTCACCAATCTACAATACAGTAACTAAAGAATAAACATGTTTGTTTGTTGTCCCCAGGTTGGATGCAACAAAGTGTACACCAGTACCTCTGACGTGATGACCCACGAGAACTTTCACAAGAAGAACGCCGCCTTCATCAGCGAGGGTTTCCAGCGTTTCCGAGCGACCGAGGACTGTGGCATCATCACCTGCTCGTTCTACGGACAGAAGACGACCCACTTCCACTGCCGCAGACCCAACTGTAACTTCTCCTTCAAGGTGAATGGTGTACATACTTTTTATGTTTACTGAAGGAAAACATATTGTTTCTGCTGTGTTCTTTCCTCTTCCTCTTCTTTTTCTTCTGTTCCAAACACTAACACGGCCAATGACCTGATCTGTTGATGTCTGTCACCATGGTAACGTGTTGGTTTACATAATGTTGCAATTTTATAGTAGGAAGGATTTAGACTCCTGTATGACCATATATGTGAATGTATTTGATTAAGAATTAACAGAGCAGACCATATGTGAAGGTAAACATAACAAAAACCATTTTGTTTTTTTACTGAGCTCTTTCTGATAAACTAAAAGTATGAGAGGATATTAACAACAACTTTCATCTTTTTGTCTACTTTTTTAGAACAAGTGCGACATCGAGAAGCACAAGGCGTACCACATCAAAGACGACATGTACACCAAGGAGGGCTTCAAGAAGTTCTACAAGTACGAGGAGTGTCGCTTCGACGGGTGCGTCTACTCCAAGGCCTCCAACCACTTCCACTGCATCCGGCCGGGCTGCGGCTTCACCTTCACGTCGACAGGGCAGATGCACTCCCACCGGCGCAAGCACGAGCGGCGCGAGTTGCGGAACCTTCGCGACAACAAGTACGCGCCGGGCGTGCACCGGATGAAACTCAACCAGCTCATACAGCAACAACAACAACTACAGCTTCTACAACAACAACAACAGTTACAACAACAGCAACAAACGTTGCCGATACAGATCCATGTCCCGCAGCCCGCACCGGTAGTACCCGTCCCCACGCCGCAACAACAACCCCCCGCCCTCACCACTGCTGCTAACCAGAATCCCCCCATCACACCCTCCCCTGCTGCACTCCAGGCTGCTAAACTGGCCAAGATGCCAGAAGCCACAGACGTACAAGAGGCGAAATCCGGCCCGGTCATTTCCGCCTCCCTAGCACGAATGGCTGCTGCCGCGCTGAGCCCCAGCAGTAAGGTGACTGCCACTTCCCCCACCCCCTCCAACTCCTTACCTCAGTTTGCTGTCCCAAGCGAGGAAAATACCTCGGGGAACATCAACATCAAGAAAGAGAAGGAAGAAGATGACGATTGTGACAGCTCGGGCGGGTCCCTGAAACTCAAAATCAAACAAGAAGACACGACGAGCGGCTCTCAGCTGATGTCCATGGATGGAGTGGACTTGAGCGACTCTCTCAATCTGACGGCCAACTTCGCCACCCTGGCAAACCCTCGCGCTACGGCCGGTCAGGAAGTGGACCTGGGAGGCTCTTTGAACTTGAACCTGCCAGGTGTTGAGGATGGAGACAACGCAAGGAGCAGCTTGGACACTTGGGAGAAATTCCTTAAGAGGTAGGCTCTGCAAATTTCTGTCTCATAAACAGTCATGGCCTTTCAGAATGGTTGTTGCCTTTTGATGTCATATCGCTGAGTCAATGCCATATCCAAGCGTATCATAGTGGGTTTTTTTGAGGTCCAAAAACATAATAATTATATATACCATTAAAAGCAACATACGAATTGCAAAGGTAAGGGAGGATCTTAAAAAATAGTTAAGTGAAAAAAGAAAAAGCACAAGCTCGGATTTGAACCCGGGTCAAATAGCGTAGCTCTAAAACCCTAACCTATACCCTAACCGAAACATCACAAAACATCACGGTATGGATGGACTGAGCTGATACACTTAAAGTTAGCCGTTCTGCATTGACCGTTTTAAAAGGCGACGATGGTTTCAGAGTTGGAAATTAGCATAGGTTCTAGCCAACACACTGAGATGATGGATAAATGCAGTAAGAACATGTGGTGCCACCTACTGGTTGATATCAGTATTGCAGGGGTGTTTTGATATGTCATGACACAGTGAAGATGATATTATGTCAACATGTCAGTTTGGAATCATTGTGAGGTGCTACAACTGAACAGTTGTGTGATGCCACCTATCTGCTAGGATCAGTACTGCAGGAAAATACATTTAGCTGCTCATGTTGTTGAGTGCCCCCAGCTTGAATTTCATTGCCTTTGGGTGTATTTACATTATTTCTTCACATTTATTCTTCGCCATATGCATGCAGATTGCCACAGGATGGGGTCCACCAGGCCTCCATCCAGAAAAGTCATGTTAAGTGCCTTTCCTAATGCCTAGGTCACATTTCCAAACCGGTGCCTGGCCTAGCTGTTTGTATGAACGAAAAACTAACAATTCATATCAAGAATATACAGAAAATAGTTCCCATGATTATTATCGAAAACTTTTCTGTGTTTCCTTGTCTTCTATATCATATAACACTGGTCATCTTGATTTAGGAAAGTCACTGGCCATTTGGAATGTCAAGTAAAAATTAACATTTTGCATTCAAGTTTCACATCAGTGCGCAGGTCTTGATGTAAGGAGTATAGTGATATGAAAATTATTGTTCTGCAGTATTCATAACTTTAGATATCATTTATAGAAAATGCAAGCAGACCGGCGGGTTTTTCAGCACCCTGACGGGGCTAGCAGCTACCCCGTCAGGACCAAATCACAGGACCGTCGGTGTAAAGTACTTACCCCGTCGGTGTAAAGTGCTCACCCCGTCGGGGTGACACTGTCATAATCACAAAACCCGACGGGGTAATGTCACCCCGACGGGGTGACAGGTCTGGTCAAAGAAGTGCAAAATCCCAAAACAAAGCCAGGAAAGGCGTGAATTGATCAGTCTATACACACCGACGGGGCAAGTTTACCCCGTCGGGGTAGAGCTCTGATCCCGTCAGGGTGAGCTCAGACAGTCATCCAATCCAATTGATGTGCAAAATCCACATTATCAGGACAAAAAATAAGCATGGAGAGCACAATCCACACTCTTCTATTTGCCCCTTTCAGCCAACTAAGGGTCACAAAAAAGAAAGATTCCAGAGAGCTTACAGACACATATATACTCACTACTCCAAAGCTGATGTCTAATAGAATTTTACCATGATCAATATTGACTGAAGGAGGCCATATAAAATAATACTTAAATTTATTTCCTTCTATTTGTAACACACAGGTCTTGCAAATAAATTGATCAAGTTCCTCAATTGCTATTACACTGGCCACAATATTCAGGGATCGAAATTAATGGCTTATAGCAGCTGAAAACAGTCAGTTGTTCTTGTGAATATTGCCCACAAATTTTCATATGGTCATAGATCTAATGGTGTCATTTAATGAGCAAAATGACTTATCTGGTCAAGAATGGGAGCAATCTCTGATAATTGTCACAAAAAAGGGAGGTTCTGTCTTTTACCTCCTTTGTCTGAGTGGAAGGAGGCCCTTTGTTATAATGTCTTTCATTCAAAGTACACACTGCAAGCAGTGCAAATCAGGACTCACTATTCTTCTCAGATATTTAGAGGCATCATGATAAGAAATATGTTGAAAACTAGGAAGTTGGAACATACATTAAATTAATTTTGAACCTTGGTACCACCAGGTGCAGAGTATTTTTGTGAGGATGTCATGAATGGTCTAACCAAGGAGCTTTAAAAAGCTTGGTGTGACAATAACTTGCTGAGAAACCACTCGAGCTTGACATTGTGTGTATTTTGTCCCATTGTTCTGCCTTGGTAGACAAGTTAATTGGCTGCATTGTTTACTTATTGAGACTTTTTACAGCAAAAGGAGCTTTCATCAATTTTAATGAAAGCTCCTTGCAGCCACTTTGTAGGTAGACACACAAGCGGCCATTGGTTTCCCTACAAAATAGTCTACTGAGTACATCCTACAATCATATTTCATGGCCTGTTGGAGAAATACTTGTCATAAATGAATGATTGTGTCTACTGTACAACTACTACGGTCAAAATGTACTTCAGTCTGTAAATGGGGAGAAATGACACTTTGGGTGGGTGGGGACATTTTGTAGCATGGTCTGTTCCATCAAGGTCCTTGGTTCCATTTGCTGTAGGTAGGATCTCCAAGCAGATCCTACACTGTGACAAGGCTGTAACTATAATTGGCCAAAGAAGAGACCATCGGCCACCCAATAATGGTCACCCCGTTGGGCTTGAATGTTTACAGGCTTGTCACAGTAGGATCTGCTTGGAGATTATAGGTTGGTGGGTGTGATCAAGCTCTGTATAATGTCCTTGGTGTGATGTTTGAAAAAAAAGTCACAGATTTTGCCCTTCTCCGATAACTTTCTTTTCTACAGACCCTGGAGTATTTTCTACATTACAACCACAGCAATGATATACAAATGTACTAGACTAAGTATTTTCTATGCAAGAAGGTATAAATTGAAATTTAGGAGGGAGGACACCATTACTGTCCTTTCAAAGAGTTTGCCTCAGGTGTGCAGTTCCAACTTCACGTTGAGGTGCCAATTACCCCCAATTTACATAATGTGCACTGGCTTGGGTTGGCTTGAGACATTTGTTTTTGTTCAGAGAACTGTGGTGACTGGAAATGAAGTACTAGCTCCAAGCAGATCCTAAGGTGGCAAAAAGAAATATGAAAAATTGGCCAGGCAGTACTAGTATCCATCGGCCAGAGAGGGTCCAATTTTCCTTGGGTTGGAGATAAGAAATAAAGGACAGTATCCTCACCAAGAAGGTTTATTGCAAGTCAGATATCCGGCTGTTATTAGATTGTGCCCGGTCAGTTTCAACCTGTCAACTCATCCAGAAAACTACAACTTTGAGTGGGTTGATTTTGATTTTAGCAAATTTTCAGGGAGAAGAAGGAATTTCAGTGGCAAAGCAATCAGAATCCAATAGACTTTTGAGACAGTAGGCACAGAGGGTTCAAAAAGTGGGGGGAAAATGTTAGCATATTTAAGTCACTATATTTGCCCACTACATGCTCAACAGTTGTGCTGGGTATACATAGACCTCACTGATGTGCCTGGTAAATGCAGCTACTTGTACATATATACCAGGATGCATTATTAAGAAGTATCCAATGCATGAAATTTATAATTATACAACTAACTTACTGGTTTCCAAAACGTGGCTCATGCTAATAATTCAGTCATTAAAATCTTTAAAAAGTGGCCAGAATATTCCTTTAGTTAGTATCTAGCCAACATGGTTAAAGTTTACCTATTCGCTATTGTAAGCACTATTCACATGACATTAATCAAAATGCCAAACAAATGGAAAAACCTGGAATTTGTTTATATTCAGACTCTTTGTTTTGGTCCGTCCGTGTTGGGGCAATTCTTGTGTTGGCTGTCCATGTTTTTGACTGTGAAGTTGAAATATGAAATATTGGAAAAGTTGTTCCAGATTATTTCCAGTTTTGGCAACAAAATACTAGACTAAGTATACATAAATGAGCCTAAAGACTAAGTAGGTAAGCAAGAAGCCTAATATTCACAACTTGAGCCTGCTTTCAAAGCAAGGAATTATACAATCCTCTATTTCTGTCCAACAGTACCCATTCGGTAATTATTCAGCTCCAGGTACAATTGTTATGCGGGTTAAAACTAGGTCAGCTATTGTTCTTGACATGCAAATGTCACTGTCCAATTATCAACTTGATACAAATTATCTTATCCGCCCTCGGGATGCCAACAAAAGCCTTGGGAGGGTGGGGCTGTACCAAATCCACATAAACTCGCTCCGCACATCCTTTAACCAAGGACTGGGTCACCCAGGAAAAGCCAGAAAGATAGCCCATGTGAAAACTAAAGAACATTGTAATTGTTAAAGATATTACCAACACATTGACTATTTGGCCCTTCACCCAGTCAGATTTTCTGCTATCTGGCACCTAACATTGCACTTGGCCATGGGTTTATAGATACATGTAGTAAGTAGTATGTGTATTTTTGTTTGCTGCATTGACTGTTAGCGGCTACATGTATGAAGTATAAAAAAATAATAGCAGTGGTTTCTTAACAGATTTTATTATGATGCATACTTTTCAAAGTCTGAGTAAGTGAAAGCAAAATTTGTCTTCTTTGTCTGGTGCAGGACTGGTAATGTTTACTGCACCAGTGCAGGTATGCAGTGAAAAATATTTTGAGCCCTGGGGTATTCTGAGAATGATAGATGAGTTTATCCATGGAGTTTGAAAAGTTGTTATCAAAGTTAATTAGTTTTTAGCCATATCCAAACTCTATTCTTAGTCTTAGCCAGGTTAGAGGTTATAACCTCCTTGATAGAATTCACCCTACAGTGAGCTAGGTATTGTTGGACAAAGACTAGATTTTTAACCTCCTTGTTAGGACCTACAGGATTGCACACGTCATGTACATATATATGGCACTCATGTGGAGCAGGTTGACTGGTCAATCATATCCATTCCTGCCATGTCAGATCTCCATGACTCATTGAAGACAATGTTCTTTCATAATCCTGGAAAATACAGTCTAGAAAAACTGCAGGAATACACACAGAACTACAATAATGAAGTGATATAATAAACTGTGTATAAACCGCCATCAACCTAGAAGCAAGTTTAATGTTAATCTTTTAAACTTCATTGGGAAATTACTTTCAGTCTGGTCTGAAGGCTTAGTAGGCCATTAGCCCAGCCTGTTCAACCTGACACACCGACGGGGCTGTTCAACACACCAACGGGGCTGTCCAACCCCGTCGGGGTAACCTTTGAGCCCAGACTTCTCATGAATTATCACACAAACTTGCTAATTACACTGGTGTGAAGATGTGAATTCTCATTAATTCAGTGGTTTTCATGGGGTGTTCATGAGGATAATTGGTTGCGGTCTGGGTGCGGGGTGGGTTTCCACCCCGACGGGGTAGAGTTTACTCCCGACCGGGGTGGGCTGTTGATCCTGTCGGTGTGGCTTGTACACTGACGGGATTGCAATTTTTAAAGTGAAATATCTTGACAAATATGTATGTTTTGACCATAAAAAAATAACCTGGTACTGAGGATAACATGATCTTTCAAATGGTATGTAAAAATTTACTGTACCTGCAGAAATGGCAAAGTTGAAAATCAGGGATTTCAACATGGCCGTCTGCAAATTCGGAAAGTGACATTCCAAAATTGAAGTGACCAGTGTTATATCATACTTTTCAATTTCATTCAACAAGACTGCCCGGCTGGGCCCCGGTTTGGAAATATGACCTCAGCATAAGGGCACAAGATTGGTGACATGGCAGGATTCAAACCCCAGACCTCTTGGTTCCGAGCCAAACACTCTGCAGTTATGCCACACGACCCCACAAACTTGCAAATAAAGCAGGGCTCGAAATTCATTTTTGGGAATAGGTGCACTGGTGCACCCAACCTAAAAGATTGGGTGCACAAAAAACTTTTTGGGTGCACCGTATAGAATAAAACTTACTGCTCCTTCTCAGCTTGAATCTAAAATGGGAGCTAACTTCAAAATCTTAAACAAGTACTTCAACAAAGCTTTCATTATTTTTCTGACCCTTAGATGCCAAGAATATCCTGTATACTATTATACAAATTTTGATAATTACTGGCCTGCCAATGATGAATTACAAAAATAGCTACAAAAATATTAGGATGCACCTGTGCACCCACAGAAAAAAATTGGGTGCACAGCTCCAATTTTAGGTGCACTAAGGTGCACATGCACACATTATTTCCAGCCCTGTAAAGATTCCTGTGTTGTTATTTCCAGGTACACTGCCAATGACCCGTGTGACCCTCGCTGTGAGTTCTTGTATAAGGACCACTACCATTGTGTGGTGGAGGGGTGCGGGGCCATCTTCAGGTCCAAGGAGGGCGTCAACAAACATGCCAAGTGAGTACAAGGTCTCACTGAGGACTCTCACTCACTATACGGTTTTATTTGATGACTGTCTTCCATTCAATATCAATCAGGAAAGCATTCTGAAAGGCTTCCAATACAAATTCAGGGCAGCAAAACATAAAAAAACAATATTCTGTATCAGTACAGCCGGTATAACCGCCCCTCGGTGTAACACACCAGCTTCTGTATCTGTATAGCTGGTATAACCGCCCCTCGGTGTAACACACCAACTTCTGTATCTGTATAGCTGGTATAACCGCCCTTCAGCGTAACACACCAGCTTTTGTCTGATATTGACATTTACTGACATTTATTGTACTGAGCACATTTTTTAACTTTGATGTTCAGTTTATTTTCTGCAGATTAAGTTTTAAGAGAGAAAACTAGAGATAGAGAATAGCCTGTGTTACACAATCTCTCACTGTCAGGTGCTGTTTGGGCCACCACTAGGGGCCTGACCAGTGGAAGGGCTGCTAGAAGCATGATGTAGTCAGGCTAACTAGAGAAGGAATGGTAAAGAATTTGACAAATTTCTCAGGCGATGTTTTGCCTGAGTGTTTGTTGGTTTGGTCCTTCAAAACTTTTGGATCAAATTACCTTCAAGTTATTGTGTTTTGCACACTTACAGTTGAACATTGTTGATTTTTGTAACAGTTGTATCAAAGTACATTCTTGTGTTTTTCATACGCGTAACATTGTTATAACTAGAAAGGCCAATATTTGCTTTGGAGCAAATACAGCGATGGGTTCACCACATTTTACGACGTCATGGCAGGGAAAGAATGAGAAACACAAGGGAAAACAATGATTTACATTGATATAACTATAATATGAAGTAACATACAACTAAGACTACAACAGTTGGCTAGCTATTCCCTACATTATTGGTTAGGATTTTTAATTGCATAATGCAAACTGTTGATTTTCAAAAAAAAACGTTCATGCCCCGCATTCCAATGCTGGAGCAGGAAAGCTTGAAATACCTACCAAAACACTTGAATACAGACATACTGTCAGTATGGAAATGGTCTGTGCAGGTGTTAATCAAGTTAAATCCCAACAGCCAATCAGCAAGAAATGCTCTGTGCAGGTGGAAATGGTCTGTGCAGGTGTTAATCAAGTTAAATCCCAACAGCCAATCAGCAAGAAGAAGAGAGGAAAGCTGCATGCCTATTGGTTGATGCCCTGCATTCCATTGTGATGACTCATGCCAAATGTGGTTAACACTGCCCACTGACACAGTAATACATTTGCTATAATACAGCCAAAAAACTCAAATAAAACCATTCTAAAAGCCTGTATCACAAAAATTTAAAAAACGCCTAAGGGTATTTGCCCACTGTACCTCCATACCAAATTTCAGGACCTTGGGCCCTAAAATGAAGAAGCTGAATCCATTTAAAAAATGGCAGGAGGAGAAGGAGGAGGAGGAGAAGAAGAAGAAGAAACACCAGAAAAAGCAATATGGTTTCACCACACCACTTACCTTTTCACCTGACAAAAGAAGTCTTTCTTATCACAAGAAAAGTACTACAACTGTCTTCTACAACTATTAATTTGCAAACAAACAAGTATGGATGAAATAATCAACATGTTAACCAGTTGAGTTTTTAAAATGTTCATGTCTAACATTAACATTTTAACATGTACTCTACTTACAGGTTCTAAAGTCAATTAATATTCTTTTATGTTTTTTTCCTATGAGATTACAGTTTAAGACTAATATTGGTTGGTACAAATGTACAAATGTATATGAGTTTTAATCCAGCTACATTGACTGTACTTCTTCCACAGATACCACCGGCTGAGTGAAGGCATGATTCAAAACGGGTTTGAACGCTTCAGCCAATCACAGGACTGCCAGAAGTATGACCCCAACTGTCAGTTAAGGCTGAAGGAGTCCCACTATCACTGCACTTGGGTGAGTACAAGTTGTACATTGTACAAGTTATGTAGGCTTCACAGTTTTCCTCAATTTTTCCACATGATAGGCTTATGATTAGGGTTGCTAACTGGGAAGATATGGGTTCAAATCCATACTACAATGTAGCAGGTCCTAAATTTTGTTCCTGTGGGAAAGTAACTTAAGACCTACTGTATTTCCTGACTCTAAATCTGAAGATTCTGAGATCTAGTACTTAGTTTGAAGCTGTTATGTGTTTTATGCCAAAGGGCGGCTCTTACGGCTATACAGCTAGTCTCAATGTCGTGCCCTTTAAAGAAGCACTTAAGACCTATTTCCTGACTCAGCTATGGTGAAAATGAGTATCGAGTTTTGCTTTTTAAAGGGACATAATGGGTTGTAAAGAAGTGTAGGTGCCATGTTTGAGAAAAAGTAACATAAGTCGTACCTTGAACCCATTTAAGAGTAATCCTGCTATAGCATTACAAGCAGCACAAGATGATCACAGATATATACAACTACATGTTTGTCATATCACCTCCTTATATCCACTCCTTATATCCCCGTAGCCTGGCTGTACCCATGCAGTACAGATGTTAACACCCAACAACCAGCATTACGAGCAGCACAAGATGATGATCACCCCTCCGTCTGAGATTAAGCCTGTCCCGGGCAGCAGTCTGTCCTCCCTGCCGTCTGGGAGTCAGGTAGACGGCATCCCGGGGATGAGGAGGTTCACCTTACAGGGTAGGTCTTACTTCTAAAAATAGCTTCATCAGGATGGTAGAAGTAGAACATAGGGATTTTATTTTTTACAACCAGGAAAGACTCTCACCTTGCTTACGTTTCGGTGTCTATCAGAACCGGGATGAGGGGGGGAAAACTCGGCCATGTTTGGGATTGTGCTCTTGCTGCAAAAGCGCCACCTACATCGGCTACATATAGCGGCAAGAAGCAGAACTCCAGTCAGAAGCTCTGAGGAAGGTGTCTGATAGACACCGAAACATACATTGTAAGCAAGGGGATAGTCTTTCCTGGTTGTGAAAAAGAAAATTCCAATATTCAGGATAGGTCTTGTGCACAAACCAATCTATTAGGAGTAAAGCAAGCAAACTTAGACCCTTTGCACCAAGCTATTGCAGTAGAGACTCTTAGTTGTTGATTAATGATTAATGACATTGTTTTTTGTGTACAGAAAACTGTGGCTACCCTGAGTGTTACTACTCCATGAAGTCGAGACTCCTAGTTATTGAGTAATGTCATTGTCCCTTCTGTACAGAAAACTGTGGTTACCCGGAGTGTTACTACTCCATGAAGTCAAGACTCCTAGTTGTTGACTTACCACAATCATTGCATCTGTCCCTCCTGTACAGAAAACTGTGGTTACCCTGAGTGTTACTACTCCATGAAGTCGAGTCACTACCACTGTACGAAGGACGGGTGCCTGCTGGCGTATGTGCAGGCCCACGCTGCTGCTAACCACCCCAACATGCACGACAACTCCTCCAGCCCCACTAACCTCAGGTAGGAATCCAAATAAGAGGAATAATTTGGTAAAGAAACACTTGCAGCACAAAATCAAATTCATGTAAAAATACTTCAAGAGTTTCCGAAAATAGTTTCATCAGGTTGGTAGAGTATAGGATATACGGGTTTTTTTTATACAACCAAACTGGTCTGATAGACACCGAAATGTAAGCAAGGTGAGACAAGTTCGGTTGTGTAAAAAAAAACATATAGACAAGATTGTTTTAGTAACTCTAATTTTTTTTAAAGATTGGTGTGATAGATTAAAAGCTTTGTGATGATAAGGACTACTTTACACCAAACTGTATAGTACATGTGTGTGTGTTTGTGGATTTTTGCTGCAATTTATACTGTGCTACTTAAAAAAATTGAAAACTAATGGTTTCTCAAGAATCTCAACTGTTTCCTGTTTTATGTGTACCTCATTAAGTACTTTTCTGGTAGGTAAATGTTGTGTGAACAGAGAGAGAGAAAGAGGATGATGTAAACTTGAAGCTTACCAACCTTTTTTTCCCTCCCAGTGAGCACAGTCTCTCTCCCACTCCCGAGGGTCTCCAGTTCTTCAACAAGTACCACAACGCCAAGGACTTCTTCTGCTACTACGGCATCAAGCGGCTGTGTCCCGACCAGCAGTGCGAGTACCGTCTGCGCGGGCACTACCACTGCAACAAGCCCGGCTGCCACTTCACCACTGTAGGAACATCAAAACTACCCTGGCATCTCAAGAAACACGACAAGGTATATATCTTGTGCAATTTGTATTACAAAATAGTGAAAGTACAAATAAGAATGAGCAAAATCTGAATTTGACCATGCTAAATAAATATACGTAATGTCATTTTATATTAATTTAATAGATATTTTTTAATGTGCAACTCTACTGCCACAATTTGACTCCAAGATTATGTCTACTAGTTTTTAACGTTTCAAAGTGAGGTCATGAATGAGCATCCGATTTCGCTGAATGCAATTTAGCTTTCTGCTGCAATGTTTGTGATTTTAGCAATAAACCAAATATAATTAATGAATGAATGAATGTTTATTTACGTGTCTTGCGACTTTTGTCACCCATCCCATATGGGCTTATAAGACACCAGAACATAAACATGAACAAAAACATGTAGGTACAGAAATCATAGAAACATAAATCCAAGTCCGAATCAAAAGGTCAAATGAACATCAAAAAATTAATGCACAAATGGAACATCACAGACCACAACCATTTTTGATTGATTGCAGGCTGAGCAGAGGGAGGCGCAGGGGTACAAGTTCTTCACTAAGAGAGAGAGCTGCGGGCGGCTGGGGTGTAAGTACAGCCTGAAGAGCAGCCACTTCCACTGCATCCGGCCCGGCTGCAAGTTTAACTTCCAGTTCAAGCACCAGATGGTCACCCACAGCAGGAAGCACATGCGCAGGCTGTTCGGACGGAACTTCGAGCAGGTTTGTGTAGTATCTGTATCTGTATAGCGGGTATAACTGCCCTTTGGCATAACACACCAGCTTCGCAGGCACGCGGCAGCTGGCTACATTACACCGATCGACTTGTTACACCTAACCCTTGAACATCTAAACATTCTTGTCATTCATTCTGACAGTATGTGCAGTTAAGGGGTTTTTCTGAACAGGGGAATAAGGGCACTGCTCCCTCATGTAACCAGCCAGCTCCCGCATATCAATTTTCAGATTGAACCCAAAGTGGCTACTTACACACCATTTACTAATAGTCTTTCTCAAAATGATCTTTTTCCAGTGACTGTACACCTTGATCACGGAATGACCTAATCTCGCGAGAACACGAGACTAGGTCGAGACTTGTGTGGATCTTCTGGCCTTCCCCGTGATCAAGATGTACAGTCGACACCGAAAATTTGAATAATTTCGTAATTTACCTTACAAAATTACAGTCACTGATTGAAGAATTTCTACTAACTGTTAATTCTACGTGACTGATGAACCTCTTCAACAATCTTGAATCAATCTTGAATCTGCAGGTGCTGAAGGCGAATGGAGAGGCCGCCATGGAGTCCGTCATCTCGAACACGCCGCCCGGCCAGCCGCCGCAAAACGCTGTCTCCTCCCTCATCCTGAAGAAGCCGCTTCTACAGAGCAGCGCGAGTAGTTCCGCCGCCACGCCGGTCCCGATACTACCGATGACGTCCCTGCCACAGACCATCCTGCTCAGCCCTCCACCCAACCCCATGCAGGTGGCGCTAACCTCGCCTCCACAGGTTATTACTTGATACTTTATTCGGATATCCATTTGTTACTTTTTGTGCAAGTAATTTCCTAGATTCCAACAAAACAAAACATTACACAAACTTCACAATCATGACTGTAAAAACGACATTGGACAACTGTACATTCTACACATGCTTTACATCATTAAGAAATTATTCAACTTTTACACACTCAGCTTCAATAAAAGAACTAGAAAGGTAACATTTGCAAAGCAAATGCATAATGTTTACCTTCGCATATGGTTTGCTTTTCTTACTCAAATACATGTAACGTTACATTAATATATATGGTCAGACAGGAGTCTACCAAAATTGCAACATGATGTAACCCAACACCAGTTACCATGGTGACAGACATCAACAAATCAGGCCATTGGCCAGGTCAGAGGTTAGTGTTTGGAACAGAAGAAGAAACGTAGTAAAAACAATATGTTTTCCTTCTGTAAACATAATCACTTGTATTACATTTTTAGGTCATCACCACCGGCGCGGCCGCCCAGATGGCCATCCCCGTGAACTTGACCGTGAACACGTCCAATGTCGCTCAAGCGTCGCCCACCTCAAGTACTCCAGTGCCCAGCACACCGTTAGCCATCCCACAGCTTGCCATCATCTCCCAGCCGCCGAGCTTAGCCCAGGCCGGCACCAGCCTGCCCACGCTCATGGTCACACAGCCGACAACAACGCTGGCCGGACTCGCAGGGCAGCCTCAGCTCCTCTCACAGGTATAAAAAAATTGATCTGCTGCATTACTCTATGTCAGTCAGTCTCATCAGACTATGACTAGACTGCACAAAACCAAAAAACAAATGGTTCATTCCTTAATAACAGAGTCATAAATCATCATACAAAATAAATGTCCAAAGTACAAGTAACATTACACAGGTTATTAAAAACGGTTGGCACAGATATTAAAAGGAATTATTAAAAACAGTTAAAAACAGCAATTATTAAAAGTATTTACAATAGGTTGCAATCATAGCCAAGCAGATACCATGTCATGACAGATTGTTGGAATTTCTACGATGGTATATTCAAAAGGTTTACCACCATGAGTTAATATTGGAGCGTTTTTATGTGTTGTTTCAAGTTATGTATTCATGTTTATGTGCAGGTGCAGCAGACGCAGCAACAGCTACAGTTGCAGGCACAGGCCCTACAGCTGGCACAGCAGATCCAGAAGGCTGGACTGGTCACCCCGACACTGCTCACACAACAGGTACTTTGCTTGTTTCATGTTTGTTTTGCATAACTGGTAAACCACCTTTAGGCGTAACACACCAGTTTTGTACATGTACAAGCTGCGTAAGACCAGACTGTAAGGTTTGAACCACTCACACCGGGAAGGTCCCCTACTCTTTTCGATAAGTGCGATGGGTTCTTTTAACGTGCGTGGGGTGTCGCCTCTCCCCAAACACGGGACCTCCATTTTACGTCCTATCCGAGGGACGTCCCTAACCGAAGCAAGGTACTCATTTACACCTGAGCAAAGTGAGGAAAGTCGTGTAAAGTGCCTTTCTCAAGGGCACAAGATCAGTGACATGGTCTTAAAGTGTACTGTATTGTGTATTGCAACACGCAATTCAGCCTATGGCTGCGATGCGTTATGATAAATAAACCTTTCATTCAACCTTTCGTTCATTCACTTTGTTCATTCAGGTGCAGACCGTAGCGCCGCCGACTCTCACCTCGCCCAGCTCTCTGTCACCGACGCCGCTGTTCTCCAGTTTCTCCGTCCCTCTCACGCCGCTCGATTCCGAGTCATCGCAGCCTCCGAGCGCGCCGAACACCCCAGGAGGGAGCAACGACTCAGCCAGCAACGATTCAGGGACCCTCCACCAGCTGCCGACCAACAGGAATCCGTTCTCATCCTTTGAGTTTCGCGTGAAGAAGCGTCGCTCGCGAATGATCGACGACGGCACGATGTTAGAAGGGTTCGCCCGCTACGATCTCTACGAGGACTGCAAAGACCCGAAGTGCCAGTTCAGCATGAGGGTGACGCACTACCACTGCACCCGGCCGAACTGCGGGTACAAGTTCTGCGGGCGCACGCACATGTACAAACACTCTCAGCACCACGATCGCGTCGACAGCCTGGTCTTAGACGACTTCCAGCGCTACAAGTCGTCGGTGAGCTGCGGCCGGGATGGTTGCATGTTCTCCGAGAAGAGCACTCACTTTCACTGCCTGCGCTGCGACTTCCAGTGCACGGACAGCACCAAAGTCACGGCGCACCGGAAACACCACTCGAAGAACGACACGGTACAAGCCGCGGGGTTCAAGCAGTTCGGCTCCGGTGTAAGCTGTGAGCAGGAGGGGTGCAGATACAACATGAAGTGCTCCCACTTCCACTGCATGCACGAGGGCTGCAGACACGTGGTGGTGGGGATGTCGCAGATGGAATCACACAAGAGGAAACACACCAAACACAGCCTCTCCATGGCTGTCCCTGCTACGGTTTAGACTTTCTTCTTATGCCCAGGTCACATTTCCAAACTTGGGCCCGGTCGGGCTGTTTGTATGAGCGAAAAACTAACAATTCATAGCAGGAATATACAGAAATAGTGCCCATGATTATCTTCAAAAACTTTTCTGTGTTTCCTTGTCTTTTATATCGTACTTTTCGTTCCATAAGACTGCCCGACCGGGCCCCGGTTTGGAAATGTGACCTCAGCATTAACCTCTAACAATCAGGTACCCACCAACTTTTCAGGTCTGTCGAACAAAACAAACAAACAAGAATCAAGCATCTCCGTATGCTTCAGCAAAAAACCTCAACGATTCTCTCATCAGTCCTCAGGAGAAGGAAGCAAAGTCGTCGTTAAGAAAAAAAAGAGAAAAGATTTTTCTGGAGATATTTTAAACGTGCACAAGAGTGCCATCCAGTTGCATGAAGTATGCATTATGATGACTGAATGACTGTGTAAACTACTACGGTTAGCGAATGTACCTGTATACAAACACAAATGTTTCAAGAACTGATGAATTTCACGCAGACTTGTTTAGGGTAACAGTTTTCTAGGTAACTGCTCGGTTTTACCGTGATGTAAATAAGATTTAATGTGTGCAAATTGTGTATTGAAATTTAGTAGTGTTACTTGAATACACAGTCGTTATTATATTATGGTAACTTATTAAGCATTAATGTGTAAAGTTAATGTAAGAATTGTTCTGGTATATTGATGAGATTTAATCTGCATGTGTTTTGCTGCTGCTTGCACAATCCTGCTTCTGTATAGGGTACGTGAATGTATTTTTCAAGTGAACATAGCATAATTGTAAGTACGTACATTGTAGGGAAGCATACGAATAGATACAAATTCATGTTTTTTACTTTAAAGTCATGTTTTGAGCCGTTGAGGTACAGGATGTTTCAATAGCGCCCCCTTCCAATCTTTCTAATAATTGCAGTTTTATTGTTGTCAAGCCTCCATACATGCAGCATATTTTCATAGAGTTAGATTTGTCAACACGTGTGTAGATATATATACGATCCAAACCTTTGTAGCTACTTTTTTTTAGAGAATCTACACCAGTTGTTTGATTAACTCTGTATTGCGTACAGCCCATGTTTTGTTTCTCCTTGTTTAACTGTCCCCGTGTTTTACCTCTGTAGCTGTCTACCACTGACATGTTTAAGTGGCTCTAAATTCACTTCGTAAAATACACAGTGACTGAACCAGCATCCCACCTAGATACAGTATACTTCACAGTGCTTTTAAAGTTAGTTAGTATTAAATAATGGTGCTGTGAAATGTGTACGCCATATGGTACAATGTATTTCCACACCCCTCCATGAACTTGTCCCAAATGTGATTTCAAGCACAGGTTGTTAGAATGTCAATCTTTCTAGGCTTCTGTTTTAAAGGCATCCAGTACAATTTCAGGGCGGAAAAACAACAAAAAAGATATGAAGAAATCTGATATTGACATTTACTGCCATTTCTTAGCACATTTTATACTCACATGTACATCTCATTTTTGCCTCACCGATATCAGTATGCTATGGGATAGGGTAGATTGAACTTGACTTCAAAATTGACTTTAAAAATCAAGTTTTACTTCCCTGAAATCGTTTTGGGTGTCTTTAATAACAGGTGGTTCAACAATACAAGGATTGTTCACAGTATGACTGTAGATAGGAATTGACAGCACTTTTTGGCATGGTTTAAAATTTTATATTGATGAAATAACACTTGGAAGTGCTGTTAGAAGGTACTACTGAAGGAAATATCTGATTTTGGCTCAACGTAGGTAAAAATTCAGGGTAAAAGCTAATATTGACTCACAGTATGTAGTAGTTATGTATAGAGAAATGATATAATTGTAAATTCAGTGTCAATTTACCGCTTCCTTTACTTGTGATTTACAATGTGACACAGTAAGGCTGTTACAAACTGGTCTAAGAGTTAAGTTTATACAGGGAACAGTTGTCAATTTTATACTTATAAGTCAGAAAAAGAAGAGGGAAGGACAACTTCAAGTCTCTTGATAATGAATTGCTTCAATGAAATGAAATGTTTTGAAATACTGTTGTTGTTTCCTAGCACATTGATAGTTAGTACAGTGTAATTATTATGTTGTTTTGACAGCAAGAAACTGTTGTTATAATCTGTTACATTTCTTCAGAACGTATAAAAAAATACCTTTGAAGAAAACATTCATCCGCGCATGTCATGTTTTTCTGGAGTGGTGTGAATGCATTATTTGGTGTGTTGTGGAAGTGATCTCAAATCAATAGTAAAGTTCTTTGATCACAACCATTTATTTTTCATGAGCCAAAGTTTTGATGACCGTCTGTCATCTTCATCAGGGTAATTCTGACTGGTTTGCTGACGCTAGATGCACCAAGTAACATCTAGTGTCAGTGCACAGTAAACCAGTCAGAATTGCCCTGATGAAGATGACAGACGGTCATCAAAACTTTGGCTCATGAAAAATAAATGGTTGTGATCAAAGAACTTTTCTCTTCATTCGTTTACCAACCTGATAAAATTATTTACGGATCTCAAATCAGTTTAGCACAATGAACAATTAATTTTCACTGGTGATGACAGGGTCTATATACAGCATATATACAAATGTAGGTTAATTGTGTTGAGGAAATTACTGAGCCTCTACCAGGCTTTGGAAGGCGGCTGGAAAGAGTAGAAATTGGCCACATAGAGAGAACATGTCAGGGGAGTTGGTCTGCTAGAGAGTACATTTTTTGGGTGCGGCAAAATCTACTCTCTAGCATGTTATCTCTCTCTGTTTGGCCAATTTCTACTCTTTCCAAAATAGAGATAACATGCCAAGGGAGTTGGTCTGCTACAGAGTACATTTTTCGGGTGCGGCAAAATGTACTCTCTAGCATGTCATCTGGCTCTCTGTTTGGCCAATTTCTACTCTTTCCAGCCACCTCCCGAAGCCTGGTAGAGGCTAGAAATTCCCCTAGCTCTTTAAAACATATACAGGTACTATGAAGAGTAGACCACAGTCCAAACAATTACTTTGAGAGGAAACAATTGTTGGCAATACATAATAAGGTAATGACATTTTCTTTATTGATGATTCAGCAAAGTTTACATTGCATGCATCTTCTTATTATAATACACAATTCTTGAATAAATGTTTGAAAGGTACAAAAAGTACATAATCCTTGAATGAAGGTTTGAAAAGTACAAAAAGTAAGATACTATAATTGCACATTCTCATGCCAATCATAAATGGCAATATCAATGTTTCAGCACAAATTCCAATCATACATGTAGCTTTCGACTAAACTCCAAGCAGATCCTAGGGTGGCAAAAGACAGTATCAAATTGACCAGGCCGTATCCATTGCCAGGGAGGGTCCAATACACCACCCAAGGCGTATTGGACCCTCTCTGTCTTATGCCACCCTAGGATCTGCTTGGTGATTAGCTTTCAACATAATTTTGGAGTATCAACAGTTTCATTCTGGATGCTCAGATGCTGATATGTGCTTGCTAAGGTTTGCTAAACTACCGGTATACACAATGCATGTACATGTATTATACACCTTGAAAGAAAACTTGCAGCATCTTCAGGCATGGCTGGCCAGCGCCCTCTAGCAGATTACAACAAAATTACAGGGTCCAACTTACTAGTATTTGTTGCAACATTTGTTGGATGAGACAACTGTACTGATAACTATCACAAGGATATGCCTATTATAGATATTCAGTGAGCTTTTTAAAATCTAAAAAAGAAAATTTGCACCTGTGGATATCACAGACCTACCATTCTTTGTTCTAAGCACTTATAGGTGGTAACAATTTGTATCTTTATCCAGCATATGTACCAGTGCAGGTTTAGTGCAGGTAGAAATACCTGCATGGCTACAGTATCACCTGCACTAACCTGCATAAGCAGTAGCCTCCATAGCATGCCAAAACCTGGGGGTCTTCAGGGTCTTTTGGAGCTTTTATGTGCTATTTTCTGATTGCATATAGACAACATAGCCGGCCTGGTTGAATTACCCCCGTTTTTTGAGAACTGGGCTAATCAGAAAACAGCCGAAGACCACCAAACCCCCAGTTCTATAAACCTGCTACTTTAAGCCCTGATGAAGAATGATTATTTCCAATACAGGGTAGACTTGTGGGATCAGTTCAGGACAACACTAACTAAGCTTCCTTTATCACAGTTTCTTCCCGATTGTCCTCCTCACCCTGATGGTTGACCTCTGCTGTGACCTCTTCACCCTTGACCTCCATCTGACCTTTGACCTCCATCTGACCTTTGGCCTCCATCTCCTCACCGCTCGACAGGTCGTCCAGCGGGTTGCTGACGTGGACGATACTCGAGCTCGTGTCTTCGCTACTCTCCGATGTGGAAACGGTTTTCTGAGCCGAGGGCCCGTTCTGAATGAAGGAATGAATAAATGTTGGTGAAGGTTAGACATCCAGGTTATAAGATACGCCAAAAAACAGTTACTCAAGCAACTGGATATGATTTTGGAAACGGTCACTGACGTTTCAGGTAGCATCCACTACCTTTCGTCAGTGACACTAAGAGCAAACCTGCATTTTCCTGTCTCTTAGTGTCGCTAACGAAAGGTAGTGGATGCTAGCTTTACATATGTATAGATGTTAAATGTATAGCTACTGTAGTATAAAGCATATTCCTAACATCTAAGTATCAGAAAAATAAGACAATTTTTGTTGTAGTATTTTCTTTAGAAATGAAACATGATTAGTTTTTGCTGATATTCTACTTATATGATTTTATCTATATGGTGCAACCCCTCCAATAAAATTTTGCATCAGCCCCAAAGATGAATTTCAGTTAAAAAAACAAACAAATAAATCACTAACGTTCTGGGCAACATCCAGAGTTTCCGCTGCATGGTTGGAGTCAGCAGGAAGCGGTTGTTCGGCCGGTGAAACCTCACTGCTGGTTGTGGCAGGTTTACTGCTGGAGGAGGAGGCGGAGTCAACAGGCTCCATCTGCCAAGACGGGATGATGGGGGTCGGAGAGGGGGTGGGGGGAACTGGTGTCTTGGAAGAGAAAGAAGGAAAAAAAAAAGCATGGATTGTTTCCCTCAAGTGATTCTAATGCATACCACATATTTTAGGCATGAATTGTGTGTCTCTAGAATACTTTAAGTGGGGGGGGGGG